TGTTACTCCCAACAGATCATTGATATGAAGAAGGAATAATATTGGTGCCAAAATTGATCCATGTGGAACGCCGGAATTGATGCCATGGTATCATATGATAGACCGTCGTCCACCACCACGTGAAGCGATCTGCCTGAATGAAAACTCGATAAGAGATGGCATAGCTGAGGTGGTAAGCCGTATGATGGTAGTTTGTGGAAGAGTCCTTCGTGCCAAACATGGTCGAATACTTCCGATATGTCCAACGTGACAGCTAAAGATTCCCCGTGTTTTTTTAATGAAGCTTGCCATAAATGGGTGACGTAGGCAAGTAGATTACCAGTAGATCTTCGGTGGCGAAAGCTGTATTGTCTATCATTGATGATTCCTGAGCTCTCCAGATATTTGGTAAGCTCAGTTTTGATGGCTTTCTCCACCATTTTCTAGATTACTGATAACAGGGCAATGGGCCTGTAGTTGTTTGGCAGGTTCTTGTACCCTTTTTTGGGGATTTGTTGGACTCTAGCGGTCTTCCAACATGATGTATATTAAATTTTTTCACCACTAGCAGGATATTTCAATCACTTTAATTCTGTGAAACTGAAATATGGACCTATTGTTACAATGAAAGCACTTCGTCCCAATCAATACATCAATAAGGTACTTCGCTTGTCATCAATTTCATTTCCGTATCTGATAACACAATGACTCCATTGTGTTATCATTTCAGAAAAATCTCATCGCCCAGGGAATGTTAAATTTCAAGCAATGACAGCTCTGTCTATAATAGATGAGCATTACTTTAGAGAAAATGCTAATTTCCCACACGGATGATATTGCAGCATTCGCCTACGGCTAATGCTGCAAACTATATTCTCGTAGGAAATCACCATCATTCCGTGCTCGTTAAACAATATACTGTTAGGCATTCACAAAACGATTAACAGTGGGAAACGGAGATGTTCCATCATGCAGCGAAAAATATAATTGGATCCTTTTCAATAGAGTTGAAACATATATATTTGTAAGATTTGTCAGAATGCATGGGATATATAAAATCCTTCTCAATCGCTCACACATACATAAAAATTCGATACGGTTACTTCACGAAGTGAAGGAATAAGGTACCAAAGTTATGGCAGCCCTGTGTGACAGTGGCTACTGAATTTATTGGTAATATTACAGTACGTAGAATAGTTATTTATGGAACAAGTGCAATAAACAATTTTTGCACAAGTTGCATACAAAATTTTTTCTACGTTCATGCAAAATGCAAAAAATGATTTATTGTGGTGCGGCACTAGGTACAATTCTGTTGATTGTCAGAATTAATTTTTGACTGACGTTTCTATAATCACAGTTGCAATATAAAAAATGTTTGTCATGATGACAGCACGTTGAAGTAGAATGACAGATGAGTGCAATAAAAACTTTATTGCACTAAGTGCAATAAAGAACTTCTTTTTCCACTAAATATAGTTCAATAAAGTTCTGCTTTTTGCATGAATGTAGAAAAATATCATAGAGAACTACTTTATGGAATTTTTGTTATGGAAAACTGGTTAATAAATTTCAAATAAGGACGTTTTGCGAGTTGAAATTGCACACCCTATAAATAGATTTTCACGTTCTCAATATGTTGATAAAAACATTATTATCTTAATATTTTTATCATCTGAACCTTTGCTTTGTGTAAAAACTCGAAATATTTGGTTGACCTTGCAATAAAATAAAAACGAATGCATTTATCAATATGATTCTATATACAAGGTGATCTATGTAAGAAGAAGTACTAATTCAATGGGCTGTCCTTATTAAAAAAAATATGTGTAGCCAAGCAGGACTTCTCAATCACAATTGTGAAAAATCGTTCTATAATCAATTAGTCATCATTGATCAAATGAGTGTTATCAGTTCATCATCTGGAATTTGCCAATGTTTGTAAAGATCACAAAAGATATCACAAATAAATAAACGAATTCATTGATAAATATTATCATAGTTTATTATACCTATGTAAATTTATTCAAAACGATTCATGACTATAGGTATATATTATGTTCATACATATGGTAGCTACTATGACTTTACTACCCCAAAACAATGAAGTTGGTGATTAGTTTTGAGGTTTTGAAATCAGAAATGTAAAGGGTCGTTCTACAGGGTGATTCATTGGGAAATGCGCATACAGGTAAGGTAGATGGAGGACACCGAGGTGCTCCTGAATAATGTATATGGCATGGGTCTATCATTCTCCATAACCTAGTTACAGGGTGATTTATTGATGTCCTCATTTTTCAATCAATCATAACTTATGAATCACACTATACAATGCATTGATATTTGATTTGTATGTTCCTTGTCTACAGTGGTGACTATTGACATAAAAAAAAATTATTTTAGGACCGGCCATGGAAAAATTAATGAGTTGGTTTCGAGTCGAAACAACACCCTATATACAGTGTGGTCATTTAAGTGTGCAACATATGGGAATCTTCTTAATGAATTGCACAACCAAAATACTGATAGTGCCAAAAATTGGTGCATGTTCGGTAATCATTTTAGGTGCACTTAGAATGGTTGCAAGTCACACAGCATACAGGGTAGGTCAAAAAACATAAAAATAGCTCAAGAATAAAGTACCCTTATTCATAACAAAATCAGTTGAGCATACCTTCGTTCAAATTCAAGCATATTTGTGCAATTAACTTAGATTTTAGTTTTTTTAGGGAATCACAAAGTTTACGTTTGTTGCATCGATATTCAGCTTAACTTCAAAATTTCGCAAACCATATTTTAACAAGGTAAAACATCATTAATGATAATATGCATATTCAAAAACTTCCATTCAATGTGCACATTTTGTATCTGAAATATTACGAATTGGGAAATTATTAACGAACAAAATTGAAAAACTGAAAAATGTCTTAGGAGGCCATGTTTTGGTATTTAGGCATAACTTTCAATTGTAAACAACTTTTTCCCATAACATTCTGCTGACTTTTCTGAAATAAGGGTACTTTATATTTTTTGACCTATCCTATATGCTGTGTGACTTACAATAATTCTAAGTGCACCTAAAATGATTACCACATATGCACCAACTTTTGGCACAATCTGTATTTTGGTTGTGCAATTCATTAAAAAGATTCCCATATGTTGCACACTTGAATATGACCACACTGTATATCAAAATTTTGCAATAGCATTCAGAAATTTGAAAGGAGCAGGAAAAAATCAGTATGACTGAAATCATTTGATGTTTTCGTATACAACTTCTTCATCTCATAACTTGAGTCGATAAGGAGGTGGCACAGAATTGAAAAAAATAAATTTGTCGTCCCCAAAAACTTTTTTATTTTCAATCCATAAACTCATCAACTTCTTCTTATTCTCATGTTTTTGGATCCCAACCTAAATGAAAAACTAGAGGACTAGTCCGTATTTGGGAAAATCATTATTATTGAATTACTAACTTTGAATACCTTGTATGTGTGAGTGAATTATCATAATATTTTTTCATCTCACTTCATTCAAAACAACAATTATGAGAATGAAGTACAATAATGCCCATTCCGAAAGAATCATAACTTTGTTTCATGTTAAAAATCCACATTTGGAGGTTAAACATAACAGAAAATAAAAAACGACTTTTCTTTATCCACGTCTGATTGATTTTTAGCTAGATCATAATCATTTCTTGACTCTTCTGATGAATTCTTGATAATGATCATGGAATGAAGCTGTCTGTTCGTACACTTTGGGTTTGATATCCCATATCGTTGTAACTGTCAAGATGGCTGATGGTTGTAGAACAATCTTGACGTTAGTTGATGACTTTGTTCTTTTTACTTGTGTTCTGTGTTCTGAAGTTATTCTTCGATAACAGATATTGCTTTCTCAATGACACAAATCCAATAATAATGAACATGTTGTTATGTCGATGGATTTAACTCAATACTATTTGTTGCAACGACATTTTTGTTTGAAATGAAGTTTTCGGAATTGGCATTGTTCAACATTTTAATAATTGTTGTTTTGAATGTAGTACAATAAACAAATATTATGATAATTTCATGATGATTTCCTTACACATGAAAGTTAGTCATTTATAATAATAATTTGTCCCAAATACGGACATGTCCTCTCTTTTTCAATTATGTTGGGATTCAAAAATTTGAAAAGTTGTATGCGAAAACATTCAGTCTCACCTATTTTCCTGCTCTTCTCAAATTTGTTAATGATATTCTGAAATATTGATATACAGGGTGTTGTTTTGACTCGAAGCTGAAATAATAAATGAATATAATGGACAAGGCTATTTGAAATATCAATATACAAGCTGAGAATATAAGATTTCTCTGTCCTATTCTCGTTCTAGATGATACCATTCTCAGTGAGTTATTCGTTTTCTGACGAGTTTTGTAGTTATGGCTGATGAGTGGTAGATTAAATCTGTTTTTGAATTGTCATATTCCAATTTCAAAGTAATAGTGCTGACGTAAGTCAAGGACCTCCATTTCTGTAGAGCTGTGAAGCAAGAGGACTGTACATATTTCAGGATTGAAAATGGAAGATTATGACAGCATACCAGCTGCAAGTAGTTAAACTTTTAATGTGTTGCCTACGTAAATCACCCTATATAATGTCGCGGCATTATTGAGTGTTTTTCCTATTAGTCGCTGAGTTAGTGGTCATAAATTGTTGAATAAAATCATTAGGTCTTTCATTTTGAAATTCTTGTTGATTGGGCAGCACTATGATTGTATAAATATTATTCACAATAATCCTTCACAACATACTACCTCATTCATCTTAGTATTGATGGATTCAGAATCCAGAACTAGATGTGAATGAACTGAAATCCTCATTCTGAAGAATGTCGACTGCTGCACTCTCACTTATGAACAGATCTGATCTTTATGAGCAGAAAAAGTATTTCAAAGATCGAGTCATTAGACTTCTTGTTCATTGTGGTAGAATATATTTTGAAATTAACGAAGTTATGTGATCTTTTCCAGGGTCAATTAGAAGAACTATGTGCAAACAACGTGAGTATATTTTTCATATTTACTATTATACAGGGGGTAAAGGTAAATGATTCAACTGTGGATAGGGGTCACTGAGGTGATTTCAAAAATCCCATGGATGATGGGTCTTCGACATTTCATAAAATTTGCCCATATCTTTATTGTCTCATAACTTTCCAACCAACCTGTATATTTTTTTGAAAATTGGTTCACTTACTCAGTCTATCCTGTCGAATTGATTGAGGTATCAACAAAAGATGAAATCCAGGTCCGGCTTCACTTAACATTCACAATTTTTTTCTGCCCAAAAACATTACCCTACACATTTGAATTCCTCAATTTTTTGACCATATCTGAGGAGAGCATCGAAACGTCTATTCGACGATGTACTTTTTATCCATGCACAGACGATTTTTACTACTCATATTATGTGCTCAAAATATAATTTTTGCTCATTTTGGGATATAAGGTGAAATCAGACGGAGATTTATTAATTTTATGACTTCCTATATTCAGTCTACTTACCTATTGAGTTCAGAAGGAGTGTTTCTTATCGTTCTTTGTATCTATTCATGTTAATGTATCAGCAGAGCTCATTGTAATTATGCCCAGTATCGGCGATATCGATTGGGAAAATTTAAATGATTTGACTTTTTATTTCGAAAAAATTGTGTGTCATTCTCATCAACACTTCAAAACTGAAAACTACAACATATACAGGGAATAATCTTTTCACAATTCAGACTATTAGAAAATAGAGTTGCCGGTCTGTCATCAAAACTATACAGGGCTTTCCACGATGAGCATTACTTAGACGTTTTTGGCAAATCAGGCAATGGATGGATCTGAAAATTCGATGGTTTGTATAAATCAACATAATCTACACGTCTGAAATATTTGAAACAATACGGCGTTGCCGCTTCAACTATAAAGTAGCAGCAACTTCGATTTCTCAAATGGGACACCCTGTATTTCATTACATTCCTGGATTCTCTCTGAAGAGATAATTTCATCAATTCACAACATATTTTGTGGTCTAGCGGGACTGATTACTGAGATATAGGGTGTGAAAAATGGAGATGTTTCGTCTTTAGAAACTTTTCGTGTTGAAACAATTAATTATTGCATGGTCAAAACGGCTTTCAGGTCTAACTTTCCATTCACTTCCGATTGATTTTCAATCGAAACAGATACAGGGTGGTGCAGAATTCTGAATTATGAACCACCTTGTATTTGTTCCGATTTATTGTCAGTAGATAGTAAACACGGAGTTGAGATACGTACATGAAAGCCGTTTTGATCAATAATAAATATTTTCGTCCACAAACTCCACAAAATATTCCTGAAGTAGGCGGGACATCTCGATTTTCACATTTTCACACTCTGAATATCTGAGTAATTATTCTCACTAGACCCCGGACGTTGTGAATCGATGAAATCAGCTGTTCAGGAAGAAGGGATTTGTTGCATCAACAAATTATATATGCTTGAGTTCTTTTTGTTGGACTGAGCAATTTTTTGTTGAACCGACCATATACATCATGATTATTCCATGGAAGCAGCTTGTTCAAATCAAGAATGTAGTCTAATTGAATCAACAGAATAATATCAATTCCATCAACAAAATATATGGTTCTCTCAAAAACAAATTATGTCGATCCAAAATTTCATTGATTTGATCAAACAATGATCATTTTGATGAGAATATATCTTTGAAACAACATACAAGTTTTCTTATTCCGATGTAGCAATGAACTCGTTTCGAACGGATCATTTACTTGAATGTAACGAAATATGTAATATCAATGAAATATCTTGTTCATTCTACATCAACTTGAATTTTTGCCTCTAGATGGCGATCAATCAACCAAATATTTCATCGAATCAACCAAATATTTCTTTTAATCAACCAAATATTCCGTTGAATCAACTAAATATTTGATTAAATCAATACATTGTTATTTTGAATCGAACAAAATGATTGTTTGAGCCAATTCAATATCTCTTCATTAACAATTTATGGATATGCTTGTTTAAAGAAGATCCAGAGTTCATGCAAGACTTATTTACTTGATTCAAACTTCAAATTCGCTCTGAAACAAGATATATAATTACTCATTTCAAGATTATATTTTGGCGTGCATATATGACACTTTTATTTGCTTCATTCAATTGAATTTTGCTTGATTCAACAATTCCTTTTTTTTTCGTGCAGGGTGTCCCATTTGAAAAATCAAAGTTACTGCTACTCTCTAGTAGAAGCGGCAACGCCGGATCGTTTCAAATATGTCGGACGTCTATATCATCATGTTCATACAGAATAGAATGAAATAGAATTCATTCAGTATCAGAACAGAACATTACATTATGTTTAACCCATTTACGCCTACCGTCCTTTTAAAAGTACTTCAAAACGAAACCTGTACTTTTCTGATTCAGCTGACGATTTGAAGATGTCGCCATTATATTTTGTTTACATCTTGAACAAGGTCGATCGCAATCGTTAGGATTTTGTCAAGTTTTGGATCGATCGTGACGGTTTTTCAATCATGAACCAATTGAAGAGAATCACAGCCTTGATGAGGCTATGATACCGTATTTTTGGCCTATCATACTAATTAGTTTCTAAAAGTTTCAAGTATTTTGCTGAGCATTTTATATGATATAATATAAACATATTATTAAATCTTTGATTAGTTTTCTAATAGTAGCCATTCATCCTACCGTCCTACAGGGACAAACTGGAAATCGAAAATAATTCATAATTTCTTCTTGACTTATTGGACCTCCTATCAACCGCTTTCGAAAAACAAATATACAAAATCGGAAATAGTAGTTTCAGGGTCAAATGGGTTAATACAAGTCAAATACATACAGTAGAATACAAATAATTATTAAAATCAAGAAGCCTCTGAGAGATGTACATAATTTCCTTATCTTCCCTCATTGTGACAAAGGGATATAATTGCTTCATTGATATCCTCTATTTTATAAGGTTCTATTGTGACTTATATCGATTTTATTTTCAAGGATATATGCATCAGGCAATGTCAAGAGATTGACATTCTTTAAATAGCCACGATAAGATTCTGAAGTTTTTAAGTTAGCCAGAATACAAATTGACCTTTTTCGAATCACAAATACTTCTCGACTATGTGAACCACCCCAGAAGATCATACCATAACACATGATTGGATAGACATGTCCAAAGAAAGCTGCCTTGAGAGCATCGTGATTTACATTCTACAACTGTCCTAAGTGCTTGCAGAGCATAACTGGCCTCACTGAGTCTACCACAGAGCCGTGACACATAGTCTACCCATTCCATATGTTTATCAATGGTAACGCCAAGAAATTTCGCAGTGTTAGCATATGGAATAGCACTATCATTCAAATTTATGTTTTTTGAGAAAATATGTGAGTTTCTGCTGTGTCTAAAGAGGATGCAATTCGTTTTAGGGATGTTCAATAGTAGAGAGTTCTCATGAAGACTCGAGAAGTAACTTCTACAGTTTTTCGACTTAATTCTTCAAAACACTTGTCAGCAATCAGAATGTTTGTGTCATCTGCATAGTTTGTTAATTTCATAGAATGACACTTGACAACATTACCTATATCATTTACATATAGGATAAACAATAAGAGACCAAGCACACTGCCCTGTCGCACTCCTATAAAAATGTTTTGTGTACCTGAAAAATGATCTGTTGCACCATCTTTGATACATACTTTCTGCGTTCTATTACTGAGTTGAGAAGAAAACCAATCATGTGCTGTTCCACGGATACCCATCTTGAATAATTTGCTGAGAAGTGTGGCATGGTTCACACAGTCAAAAGCCTTTGATAAGTCTAGGGAAACACCATGTGCAACATATCCATTATCTAGGAAATGCAATATTCTTCTTGTGAAAGCAAAAATGGCAGTAATAGTAGATTTTCCTTTTTGAAAACCGTGTTGAATATCTGATACAATATTGTTTGATATCATAAATGGAACCAGTCGTCTACTCATCATAATTTCAAATAATTTTGAGGAACTAGATGAAATACTGATTGGCCTATGACTTTCAACTAGGTAAGGGTGTCCTCATTTGAATAGCGGCCTTACAATGGCGATTCTTAACCTAGAAAGAGAACTACCTCTTCTGAATGATTCATTCAAAATATAAGTCAAAGGATCCAATATGTAGTGACAGATAGTTTTCAGTAAAACATTGTTAATTCCATTATCACCTGCATTATTTTTTAATCCCTTAATTACCTCCAGAACTTCCTCTTGAGTTGTTTCTGTTACAAAAATTGAGATGTGAAATTCTTAACATGGTCTAGCTTCATATTAGGTTGAGCATTCCCCAAAAGATTGGAGGCTGCAGTGATAAAAAAATTATTGAAGATTTCACACGCTTTGTGTGGTAACGATATGAGTTCGTAATTGAATTCAATTCCTTCGAATGATGGATAGTTCTGTTTAGACTTACCTAGCTCTCTATTCACAATGGACCATATTGTTTCAGACTTATTGTCTGATTTCATTACCATAGAATTTTTCTCTCTCAGACGCCAATAGATGATTGTAGTATTCTATATACATACCCTAGACTTTTCAGATTCATCCGTTGCCTGGATTGCCAGATACGTATAATTAATGCTCATCGTGAAAAGCCCTGAATAGTTTTGATGACGGACCTGCAACTATATCTTCTGATAGTCTGGATGGATACAAAGAACGATATGAAACACTTTTCCTCAACGTAATACAATAGGAAGTCATAAAATTAAAAAATCTTCGTCTGATGTCACTTTACACCCCAAAATGAAGAAAAATAATATTTTGAGCACATGAGTAGTGAAAATCGTCTGTGCATACATGAAAAGTACATCATCGAAGAGACGTTTTGATGCTTTTCTCAGATATAGCCAAAACATTAAGAAATTCAAATGTATACGGTGTTGTTTTTAGGCAGAAAAAAAATTGTGAATTTTAAGTGGGGCCGGACCTGGATTCTATCTTCTGTTGATTCCTAAATCAATTCGACAGGACAGATTGAGTAAGTGTACCAATTTTCAAATAAATATACAGGTTGGTTGGAGAGTTATGAGACAATGAAAATATGGGCAAAATTTATGAAACATCCCGTATCTCGGTTATAAG